CAGTATTGCACCTGGGTCAGGCCAAGTGTCAAGTGACAGGGAGAAGGGACCCCTCCCTGCAGAGCCCAGCTTGTCAGTGCAAGTCTGTCTCCTGCGACCTTTCAACTGTGAGGTCCGTTTCATGCCATGTGCCCTGCAAGTGGCTTGGGGGACTAGACGAGGCAAGACCGAGTGGGGTCCCTTTCCTTCCAGGACGTATAGCTTGTGGGGGGCAGGTGCGGCTGGGCTTGGTGGGGTGCGGTCTGCAGGGCCTTCGTGGAAATGATGGTGCTGGGACATGTCTGGAAAGTTCTACAGACCCGGCGGTTTTAATGGGAGGCAGGAGAAGAGATGGGTATTCCGTTTCACAGTCTGGAGTGGCTCCTACCATGTAGTTTTCTGCGTGACTTTTGGCGATGAACCTAAGTTCACGTCCATTCTGTGGATTCCACAGACTCCAAGGGGACATCTGCTCTGTGCCCTGAACCTCATACATTGTAACCAAGCTGACTTAACTGGGAAATGCTGCTCTTTTGCCTGTTCGATATCAAGCCGTCAGTTATGTGTTCTAGGTGTCTACTGAAGACACGGAATTCATTCGCGCCGGTGGGAGAGTCGCCACAGAGCAGAGACCCCACCATCTGTGGCCACCACCCTGGGAAGTGTCTGTCACTGTGCGGGGCTCTCGTTAGCTTTCCGGTTTCCTTCTGTTTCAAAATGACTTGATAAATCTCTTCAGGAAGCCAGTGGCTGCGGAATGAGGAACAAAGTCTGGAGGCCCTGACCGTTAAGGACCAAGGGCAGCCCCCTCCCTGGTAGGAAATGTGGCCCGTCGCCCGCCGGTGTGAGCACTGATGGTGCACGCAGAACAAACAGGCTCTCCTGCCTTCCCGCTGCCTCCCAGCGTGCGTGGCTGCTCACCTCGGACTCGCTGCGCTGAGTGGCTGCTGCTTGCTCTGGCCCCTCCTTTCCAGCTGGGTTTGGCCAGTGGAAGGCACAGCCAGGTGATGGGAGACCCGAGGACCTCCTGCCCCTGGTTCCCGGTTTTGGGGGCCACAGCTCCTGTCAGGTAGTCTTCTCTGGCTTCCTGCACCGACTCCTCCCCTGCGACTGGTCCCAGCGTGGTCACTGTTGCCCCGTTGCTAGCTCTAGGGTACGGCACCCCTCTAATTTGTATTCCTACGCCCTGCACACTAAATCCTCCCCCGTTCCCCAGTGTAATGTGGCATATGCCAGGACCGGGCTGATACACCCGACGACCTTCTAATCACACTTTGTATTTTAAGTTGTTGAAAAGGCACCGTCTCTGTGGCTGTGGTCAAGGATGAGCAGAGGGGTGCTGCCGGCTACCTACTCTTCCAGATCCATTTCTCTGCACCCCCAGGCCCACACTCACACAAGGTGCTCCCCAACTACTTCTCCTCCTGGCTCCAAATACGTGGCTGACATCCTGACCCCCAATCCAAGTCCATCCGACCACTAATTGCCAAGCACCTCCAACGCCAGGCTCTGCAGCACTGTCTGGGGGTACGACAGTCAGCAGACCTGGCCCCTGACTGTGGGTGGACATGCACCCCCCAGGACCCACAGTGCTCCCACCAGCCCACTGTCTGCCTGAAAGCCTGGACTCCGGATTCTCAGCCTTGACCTGGTAGGGTTTGTTAGGCCACGCCCAGGCATGGCTGCCCTTTGAGCAGACCCACCCCTTCGCTGGCCACACCTGCCTTGATGGAGGGCCAGTTAGGGACGAGAATGTTAAAGATGGGCTGCTGCTGTTTGCACTGGGCACTGGAGCCTTCCACCACCTGTCTAGACTGCATTCCCCACCCCTCCCCTCCCCACCCCAGGCCGGGCCAGCCCGGAGCTTCTGTAATCCTGGCCACTCCAACCCTTTTCTCTTCCTCTTCCTATTGTAGAATGTGCTTTGAACGTGAGTTCTCAAAGCAGTCTCTTGTGAGCCCCTTCGACCTTAGCGCCAAGAGCAAAGAGTAATGGGGACACCCTCTGGGGAACAGCTCCTCTGGGGAGACCCTGACTGTGGCCTAGTGGGCGTCTGCTTCACCCTTCCCTCTGTGTCTGTGCATTTGTGCTGCCCATCGAGACAGGCTGCCTCCTACTGAGCCACATGTGCGTGAGTCTCCACTTCGGGTGGGACCTACCTCCTGCAGGGTGCCCGTGCTTTTCCTGGGTGCTTCCTCACGTGAGCGGTGGGGGAGGGGAAGGCATGCGTCCTTCCCCAGGCAGTGCCTCTGAGCGGCCATCCGCTGGCTTGCCTGCCTCCTCCCCCCTCCCCCCGAGACAGGCTACTTTGCTGTCCTTGAGGTTTGAACTCAACCCTCATCCTCTACCTACCTGGGAACTTGGGCCACCTGAGCATCCAGCACCCTTGGTTCGCCAGGTGCTGGCTCCCTGGCCTCTGTGAACAGTCCAAGTGCAAGTGACCCCTGTAAGTCTGCCTCGCCAACAGCACCCAGTACCCAGCACGGGCTTCCAGGGCCTCCAGCCTGCCTCCTGTCTCATTGGATCTGTAGGGAGTAGATTAATCGTAGCGCGTTCTGTTATTCTGCGTGCCTAGTACACAGCCTCTTTCATCAATTCTACGATGCTTTTTTTTTCACTTGCCTGAAATCAAATGTGCCCACAGTTGATGGTGTCTCGTAGTTTACGCTTTAGCTTTTCAGTAGTAGGCAAAATAATGTATGTCTTAGCATCGGCGCATCTTAAATTCCCATATCTGACGTGCTCTCTCAAACATGCATGCCCCAGCCGTCCTCCAGCTGAGAACACTTTCCGCGACTCACACGTCAGTTGTTCTACTTAGACTTTCTTTGATATTTTCAAATTCTTTTTCCAGACGCCTAATGGTTTGTCATCCATTAGCAGTAAATGCTTTGACGGGAGGACACCTTCGTCACGACTGCTTCAAATGAACCGCGTTCATCGATCTCGCATCAAATTATGTTTGCTATTCTGCTCACTTTTGATTTTAAACCTACTGAAGTTATTCTCAGAAGGCCCAGCTGCCGCTGCGCAGATATTTCTGGTTCAATAATGTTTGAAAGAGATCGCTTAACGTGGGGCTTTGTGAAAACGAGGGACTTACTTAATTGAAAATATTTTTTTCAAAAGCCTTTTGTTAAACTCTTGACCAACTTACTAAATCGCTTAAGCCACACGCTCACACACACACACACACGCCCTCACATGCAGATCTATACACGTGTGCAGTGCCTGTGCACATACATGTTTGCTTGGAGAGAGACAGAAAGGCAAGTCGAGAGCCCCGAGTCGAGGCGAGAGACAGAGGTGGACGGAGGTGGGCTCTCGCCGAAGGCAAACGCATCCTCACTACAACCTGGGGTTAACCACCAGGAACAAGACTCGGGCCAGGTCTGAGTCGTAGCCCATTCCCAGATGCCTGGGTTTGTCCCAGTCTGGGTCACCTTGCTTCGTCTGCTCTCCTGATCCCACTGACCTGGAGCCCTGAGGACCTTCAGGCCAGGGCACGGCCACAGCCTCCCACGTGAGTCCCAGCTGTGTCCGAGCACTAGGTACCTGACTTGAAGGTGGCTAAGTCGAGGTGCTCCAGCCACGCTCAGCCCTGGACCCTGCTCGTTCACCAGCCTGGGCGGACTTTCCGACCTCCACCCTCTTTGCCTGCTGGCTTCCTTTTCCACGTGCGATGGGTCCCTGTCCCTTTAGCAAGAAGGCAGCTGGTGGCCCCCACGGGAACAGCTTGACCCATGACCTCCAACTCCAAAGGCCGCACCTCCTCAAGTCATTTTCAAACTACCTGGCTGTCACTGATGTGACGGCGGCTGCTAATGTGATGTCACATTGTGTGGGGACGTGTGGGGCTAAGAGCTGTAGAGCCTGTGCATACTGACGAGAATGCAGGTCTCCTGCTTGCTGTTTTCCATCCTGCCCTATTGCCTGACACCCACTCCAGGGGAACCAGCAGAGGAGGGGCCTCAGGGCAAGGCAGGGGCTCTGCTCAGCAGGGCCTCAGCTAGAGGGACTGGCTGTCAAGGGACCTACCTCCAGGGATTTCCTGCTGGAGCCACTGACAAGGGGAAGGAGACCTGGCTCCAGGGCGTTTGAACAGCCCGGTAGAATTGCCCACGGGCTCCTCCGGCATCAGCAACAGAGATACAAATCAGGGAAGGTTTTTGTGCTGACTCATTTTCTGGGCTTTGAAAGAACAGAATTATAGCAAATGAAAAAATATAAAAATAAAAGCAAAACAATTGCTAGAAGAGATTTTTCCAGTGTTTAAAAATAAAATGATTTTTTTGGGGTGAGGGGGAGGTGGAGGGAATAACCCCTACCAGAGAGAGAGACACACACACGCGCGCGCGCGCGCACACACACACACACACACACAGAGTCTAGAAAAACATATTCTAAACTTTTGAAAATAGGTCTCTTGAGGTTGTGCGATTACAGGTGATTTCTTTTTATAAAAATTCTGGTCTACGGCCACGCCACCCTGAACAAGTCCGATCCCATCTGATCTCGGAAGCTAAGCAGGGTTGGGCCAGGGTTGGATGGGAGACCACCTAGGACCACCAGGTGCTGTAGGCATAAAAAATAAAAAATAAAGGATTGTAAGCTGACAATGTCTTTGCAATCTGTGAGGTCAACTAAGGGCTGCCTCACCTAAAAAGAAAAAAAAATCTGTATTTTTCTAATTTTGCCATAATAAAAATATATTATTTGTATGACAGAATACATACGTTTAAAAGTTAAAGTTTTTTTTTCTTCTTTTTTTAAACTGAGAGGAAAAAAAAAATCTTTAAAGCTGTCCTGTGTGTGCCTTTTGCAGACTGGTTCTTGGGGGCTGCTGGTTACAGGATGTGAGGGTGTGGGTGGGGCCAGCAGACACTGCGTAGGAGCCCAGGGCTTTTTCTGGATCCTGGTCACTCCCTCAGCTGGAGTCGGTCTCTGCTGCAGGTGGCCTTTGTGGTTGGGTGATGTCTCAGCCAGTTCAACCTTGCTTCTTTTCGGGGTCCTGTCTTAAGGCATCGGAAGGTGTCCCCATGAGGTTCTTCACCAAGCTGGACCAGCTCATCGAGTTCTACAAGAAGGAAAACATGGGTCTGGTGACCCACCTGCAGTACCCCGTGCCGCTGGAGGAGGAAGAGGCAGGCGACGAGCCGGAGGAGGAGACAGGTAAGGAGGGACAGAGGGCGGGCCAGGGGCCGGCTGCTGCCATGGGCAAGAGGGGCCTTCGTGATCCTGTCCTCTAAGCACCATGGCGAGGGGCCCCGGGGTGTTTCGCTGCAGCGTTTATAGATTAGGTGGGTTTGATTATCAGGGGGAGAGAGTGTGACACAGTGGTTAAGGCCAAGTTAGAAACAAAGGCTCTGGAGTCAGACGGACCTGGATCGGACTTCCTGCTCCTCAGCCTGAGTTGTGCGCCGTTGGGTAAATTACCTAACTTCTCTGAACCACAGACTTCTCTTAAAGAGACAGTGAGAATAATGTCTGCCTCCCAGGGCGTCATCAAATGAGCCAATAAGTGTAGAGCCCAAAGCCTCGTATACAGAAAGTGCTCAATAAATGCAGCTACCCTCGTCATCAAAACAATTAGCTGCATTTCACTGTGAAGAGAACGGAGGAGGAAGCCCATGAGCCTACCTGGTAGGACAGAAAGGCGTTTCTTTATATCATCATTAAAAGGGGGGGAAAAGTGCAGACCCTAAGAAGTGTGTGCGTCAGGCCTGGGGACGGACATGGACCAACCGACGAATCTGGCCAGGCTGGCAGTGCAGGGTGGGAGCTCACCTGTGGGGGGCGCCCTTTTTTTTCCCCTGATAAGTTTATTCTCTAAAAGAAAACCCCGAGACATGTCACTGAGCCCCTCAACTGGCCAAGGCCCCTCTTAAATTCCAGGGCCTGGAGACAGCCAGCTTCCCAGGGGCGCCCCCGACGGAGGGCCAATGAGGCCAGAGACACGGAGGTCCCTGGCCTGTCCCTGCCGGCCACGTGCTGGGCGTCCTGTTTGTCCTGCTCCCGTGGGCTAGCTCGTGGGCTGCCACCCCCTTCCTCCCACCTTCCCAGAGACCCTCTTTGAGTGATTGCACAGCTCACCCTCCGCCTCAGGGAGGGACTCTGAAGAGCAGCCATGTCAGCTCCGGGGACAAGGCTGGGGCCAGGCAGAGGATTTCAAAAGGACCACAGCTCCGTGGGGGCTGAGAGGGACCCGGGCAGGCCATGTCCCTTCTCGCCTCCCTCAACCCAGTAAGAGGTGCCCTCAGCTGTGAAGTAGTCAGAGCTGACATGTCCACGTGTGAGTGAGTCCAGGGTCACTCGCCAGGGCCGAGCCACGGCCACACGTCTCCCAGTTGTCCCCCCGTTGGCCGTGACACCAAAAGGCCGTCCTGCTCCCCGCCCACGCTCAGCCCAGCTTCTCTGGCCCCCCGGGGACACCCGTCTGGAGAAAGACCCGGCACCTTCCGTAAGGGCTGGAAGGAGAAACCGGGTCTCGGGAGAGCTGGCTCCACTTCTTCAGGTGGAGCTCAGGTCTCCTCAGGTGCCACGGTCCTCATGGGGACAAAACGGACTCAGAACCATCTAAAGAACCAAAGGGCCCGGCTGGGAGAGGAAGCGAAGGGCACATCCTTTACAGAGGACGCCCCCAGGTGGCTCTGTGGCCATCTGGTATGAGAAGCGGCTTAGGCAGGAGGCCCCGGACCTATGAATAGGCAAGAGTGTCACCTCTCATCCTGACGTCAAGTCGTTTGTGCCATATTTCAGTTCTCTGAGTGAAGGGAGGCCACTTGCTTTATTTTATCTGTCTCCAAAGGTCTGGGGTGGGGGGGGAGGGTAGGGGTGCAGAAGCTGGAGAAAAAGCAGAGAAAAGGGGACCAGGGCGGGAGAGCGCGTGTCCAGGGCCTGCCTGCTGCCCGCCCCATGCCTCCCGCTCCGGGAACAGGGCCTCTGCCCCAGGAGCTGGCCATCCTGCTGGGCTGCCTGTGGCTGCTGGCTCCGCTTGTCAGAGGCCTGACATGGTCATCCGACCCTAGGTGCCAGGTGTTTGCAGAGCCTCGGTGGAACAAACTGTGCTAGGCCCCAGGGCCAAAGACCACCAAGTCCAGGTTCCAGGCCCCGTGGGCTCCCTGTCTAGTCAGGGAGTCAGTGAGGGAGTGGGGACGGAAGGGACAGTGTGGACATAGATGGGGTCTACAACTGGGTACAGTGGCCTGGGCTTTGCATGTCGAGCAGGGTCAGTGCACAGAGGACCCAGTGGATCAGCCGCACCGCCTTCTCTGTTGGCGGGTGATCGGAGAGAAGCTGGTGCTTAGCCCACATGGCATCCCTGCTCTTCTCTTGGGCAGAAGGTGTCCCGTCTCCGCCTGAGCTGCCACCGAGAAACATCCTTTTATCTGCTGGGCCATGTGAAGCCAAGGAGGCCCCTCTCTTGAGTGAGAATCCAAGAGCCACCGAGTTCAGCCGGCCCAGCCTCTCTGAGACGTTGTTCCAGCGACTCCAGAGCATGGACACCAGCGGGTGAGTCCCCACCTGGCAGGTCCCCTCAGAGGCCAGCCTCGGTGCCACAACGCCCAGGCTCACTCCTGGAGGCACCCTCCCACCCTAGGACGGGTTGCTATGGAGCCCCCTGCCTGCTGCAGCGGTAGGTCTGAGGGAGCGGGGCTCAGCCGGGAGCTCCAGGACGCGGCCCTGCCCCAGACCTCGCGCGCCGCGATCCCCATGAACCGCACGCGGCGTCTCTTCCCATCACCGAAACCTCTTACCGTGGCATCCAGTGATTCAGGAGGCCTGCGCGAAGGAGCTGCCTCCACGCAGCCCTTCCCTGCTCTGGGCCCCACGCTGGGCCACCTTCCTCGTCGCCAGGAAATGGGTCAGATGAGGAGTTCTGTGTGCGGCGTGGACGATGAGGTCTACGCAGCACGGCGCTGTGCGGCGGACGGCGTGGGTTGCGATCATTCTCACCCCCGAGCTTTTACTCGCTCCAATCCAGGGTTGTTGGGATCCCGTCCCTCACGTGCTCCCATCCTGGCCCCCGCTGGTCCGCGCTGACGAGATTCTGCAGCCTCGTCGCCATCCTGTCCCGTTTCTGAGCAAGAGTCCCTGACTTTCGACAGGCTGGGGTGGGGGTAGGGGGTGGGCGGACGGCTCCGACGTGAAGGAAGGAGGGGGACTGCGTCCCCGGTGCCCAGCATGTCCTCTAGAGTAGAGCAGGCACGCACTACATATATGCTGAATGAATTAATACGTTAGTGCACGGTAACTTCCATGCATTCGTAGTGTTAAAACATTTTTGTTTCTTGGTGAGAAAAAGGCCCCTCCCAAAATATCCTAATGCCAGGGCTGCTGCAGTGTCTCCAACTGGGAAGGTCAGCGTGAGGTGAGGCGGCCAGGGCTGCTCACCTGACGTCTGGTTCCGCAGCATACGCTGGAACTGCCTGAAGGTGCGCCCAAACCGCCCAGTTGCTAAGATACCTGGTGTCTTCTGTCTCCACCTTGACGCATCCTCTGATTCTTCTCCAGGCCCACGGGGTTATGTTCTCGGCACAATCTTGAGTGGCTGGTGCTATTTGTCAATTGGCTAAATATCCAGTGCTTTGATATGTTGATACACACATTATCATGATTCTCCTGACATGTGTCTAAATAACAAATGCTTATTAAAACATTCCGTGCGGAGCCCATTGTTTAGTTTCCTCGAGCTGGCTTTTCTCTCCAGGTTTAGATGCTAAATGCTGTGAACTCTGGGGAAACGGGCGAGAGAACCCAGCGGTGCCACCATCTGCCCACTCTTCTTGACTCTCCCACATCTGTTGACTCTATCTCTTCTCCAGTCCCTGCTCTCTGGGGATAGCTATTCTCTTGGGCCTCAGGGCCCAGTGGGTCAGGACAGCATAGGCAGCCAAGCTTCGGTACAGCCTCTTGAGAGGGGCGGTGGGCAGCCGACGGCTTGTGAGCAGGAAGGGCACGCTGTCTCTGGTTTGGTTTTTCAGCCGGCATATGACAGTGGACCCTTCCCAAAACTTCTGCTTAGAGATGGGATCCCGTCCCATGGTGGAGGGACCATGGTGACACACTCAGTGCCTGCTCTCTGTTTAGTTCTGGTTCTTGAAAAACCGCGATTCTTCCTTGTGTTTTAAAGTTAATCTATCTTGCTTGTAAAATCGCTTTTTACACAGAGGACTGCCTTCAGATTATTCTTAATTATAAGACAATCTGCACAGTCTTTTGTACAAGTTAATTAGATCTAATCAGTTAGGTCATTGTTAATACAAGATTGCCAAGTAAAATTAACCTTCTCTGATAAACAGAGTTTGTATCTTAAGTCAACATTTTTCTACAACAAACATTTCAGCAAATATAGCTTCCTAAAACATGGACTCGTGGTTTCAAAGTTACAAGTCAATAATCATTAGAACTGTTAAAATGCATATCTTAATATTACGGGAGAGATTTTCTCCTTTTTAGTAGAAGAGACTTAGGCAGACACTTGATTTTTTGTGATGTCAAGACTTACAATAAGTATAGATTAAATTTAAATATTATGATGACTGGTAAGTAAATTGCTGCTGACTTGGTCTAAATAAGTCAGAATGGCTCATTCGCTCCTTTCTAATCTTAAGAACAAGAGATTTTCATTACAGAAAAGAAACGATGCTCTCTAATTTCAGCTCGATGATATGTCAAGGCTGGAACAAAGATTTTTAAGGCTTGTAATAATTTTTTCACACAAATAAATCAAGGTCCTTGAGCCTAGTTTCCTCATTTGTGAAATAAATGGAGCCTAGTTTCCTCATTTGTGAAAAAAAAGAAATGATAAAAATATCTGCCTCATAACTGGTTTGGGGCTTAAAGGAGAAAAGCAGCATAAAGTGCTTAGCAGAGTGGCTGGGATGTCATGCTCAGAAAATATTTGCTGTGATTAATTTTCGTTGTTAGAGGAGCCAAGATTCAAAGGGTACCCAGAAAAAAAGGTGCTGGGAGATAGGATGTAGAGCTGTGGTCAGACGTGGGTGACAGCCGTGTGCCCTGGGGCCTGGGGTCTCTTCTCCTGGGCCGTTGTGTTCAGTGAGTGAGTCCTGCCTGTGGTCCCATGGCATCACCCATCAACTGAAGGGGCTGAACCATCCTGGGAGCCCAAGGGTGAGGTACCTGGGCCACCACTTCCATATTGCCAGCCCCATCTCTCATCACAGAGATTCCCATCCCTCACCCCCCCAACACCTCCACCCCCACAACGCTCCCTCTCACCGCCACCCCCCAGCCTAGAATGACTCAGAACCTCTTTGACACAGAGCTCCAGGTAGCCTCCGCCTGTGGATCTGCAGTTGGCTCGTGAGCTAGAAGCATTTGCCATCTCTTCACTAGAGCCTCCCTCAGCCCTCAGATCTCATCTTTAGGAAGAAATGAAGTAGGGAAATAAGTCCAGGACACATTTTCCAAGCTGTTTTGTCTCCTTTTTAAAGGATAAACATTTCCCATCTCCAATCAGTATCGCTACCCTCCAAGTACCAGCTTGGGAAAAAGCCTTTATGGTGGGTGACACGGCACCCCACCTTGCGAACCCTTTAATCTCATTCCCATCTGCTTCTCTACCCTCCAGTGAGGCCCAGGGAACCACAGAGGCGCACAGATGGTCCCCTGAAGGACATCGTCTCAGCCGGAGACTCAGAATGCAGATCTCTTCTTGTTACTGTTGGAGTTGGTGGCCAAAGAAACAGAATAAGCATATTTTTTTAATTTCTCCTTTTTTTTTTCAGGCTTCCTGAAGAGCATCTTAAAGCCATTCAAGATTATTTAAGCACTCAGCTCACCCTGGACTCGGATTTTATGAAGACGGGCTGCACCAGTCTCCCTCATCTGAAGAAACTGACCGTTTTCCTCTGCAAGGAGCTCTATGGGTAATGCGGCCATCGGGTGGGAGGGACAGGCTGGCTGGGCCAGAGAGTCAGCCCGTAAGAGTGAGCCCCGAGCCCCGTCTGGCTGCCCCAGCTCTGCTGCTATACTCAGAACACTCAGGCAGCTGGCGGGGGCTTAGAACTCTTTGTGGTTTTTTTCGAGGTTTTGTTTTCATGGTATTTGAACTGTAACGCCTATTTTTTTTTTTTTAGCTGAAGTTAATTTGAGGTCAGTTGCTGTGGGGAGGGGTGGGCAGGAGGACACTGCCAGCCTTTTCACACTTGCTTATCCAGCATTTAAGACTTTGGGGCCTAGTCTTTCTGCTCGCTGCGGCGGGCACATTCGACGAGCACGTGGGGTGGCAAGAGGAAATAATTAAAGTCAGCCTACTTTCTGCGTGGGTGGCGATGGCCCGAGATTGCCGGCTGTGGCACTTTTAAAAAGTTGAGCCAGTTCACCAAAACATCAGTTTTCTGATACTGAATCCATCAAAGGATCGATTGGAAAAAATTCTAATTTCATTTAGACTATTTTTGATTTTGCATTTTAATTTCATTAACATAAACATGAATTTCAAGTTTAATTACGTTTTACTTGTTAGAAGTACAAACTTCGGGCTGATATGCCATCTGAAAAATGAGCAGAAGAATATTTTAAATGCTTTCTTAAAAAGCTTGAAAAATAGAAAATAACATTCAAAAACATCTGAAAGGAATCACAAGGAGCCAAAACAATCCCATAATAAATAAAAGGTCAACGTTTTGGTTGGAAATAATCGCATTTCATGTGGGTGAGGTTTTTTCAGCCTCTGCTGTGCTGTATTATTACAGATATAGCAATTTCAAAATTCTCTTGTCTGTTTCTCTGGTGCCATGTCCATCTTAGCTTAGTTAATATGCAAAAAAAGAGTCTTTGATCATCAGTCATCAAACTGAACTTTCTTCTTAAAGGCTCTTAAGTACAATCAATACGTTTGCTAAACTTAACAAATAATTTTTTTGGCAAATCTAACACTCATCAAATTGGCCAGTCAGGTTTAATTTCAATGAATTGGCTTTCCACCAATGGAGTTTCAGCCAACAGGACCTAGAGCCATCATTTATAAATTCCCACAGAGAGACATTTTCCATTCGATGCTGCTGTTATCATTCATTTATCACTGGAGAAAACACACACGTAGCACTTTCTTTTTAAGAAACACAGTTTCGTGATGACTGGTAACAAGCTTTTATTTCCACTCCAGTGGTGATCTTGTTCTTTGCTGCTTCCTCGTCCAGGAGGAAATTTGCCTTTAAGTCTCTCCAGTAGGCTCCCCCAAGTCACTCGGCCCACTGCCGCACTCCCCGACACCTCACTGCTACCTGGATTTTCCTAGGATCCAGGTCACCTTGCCTTATGGGGACAGCAGCCTCCCCGACGTGCCTACTTCTCTGGTACATTGTGTTGATGGAAGAAGCTTCCTCTGGCTTCTGGGTGTTCCACTGGGAAGATTCCGTCCAGTTGGAGTTAGAGACACTGCGATGTTCCCACGCACACCCGTTTGTGTTTGCCTTCACGGGCCACGTGGTAGCAGGATTGGAGACCCAGTTAAGTGAGAGATGGAATTTAGAAAGTGTTAGGAACAAAGTTACGGTTTCCATACCCCCCGCCACTCCCACCGATGCTGTTCCATGAAGCTAACTACAAACCTGTAGGTTTCAAAGTGCTTTGATTGGAACAGGCCATCCATCCCTCCATCCATCCATTCATCCATTTAACAAGTATGTTTGAAGGGCCTTCTCTGATCCCTGTTCTGGGTCTGCAGCAGTAAACACAACGCACAGGGTTCCTGCTCTGTTAGACCTTGTTGGAGCTGACGTCTGAGTGAGGAGTGCAATAGTGGATAAGGCCTGTAAATAAACAGGGTCATTTTAGTAAGCGTCATGACAAAATAAAACAGGAGAAAGTGATGGCGAGACCTTGAGGGCGGTGATGTGTCCTCTGGGGGTCAAGTGCAAAGGTCCTGGGGTACAAACGAAGCTGACCTGCAAGGAACAGAAAGTCTATATGGCTGGAGCACAATGAGGGAAGGTAAACCTCAGGAGTGGAGATTGGAGAGAGGCAGGCATAGGTGGCCAGATTCAGCAAATAAAACACAGGATGCTCAATTCAGTCTGAATTTTAGATAAACTACAACTACATGTTTAGTATCTTTCATGCAATATTGAGATATACATATACTAATAGGTTATCCATCGTTTGTCTGAAATTCAAATTTAATTGGGGGTCCTGTGTTTTATGGCAACGCTGGCGGGAGCCACCGCGGGTCTCCTCATAAGGCCCTGCAGAGAATTGAGAGGACTGTGGCGTGACCCGAGTTGGGGCTGTGGAGACTGGATCCCAGGAGGCAGACCCGGAGCAGGAGACCAATGCGGGGCTGCTACGGCTGGAGCATGATGGCCGCCCACGAGAAGGGAAGCGAGCAGAGGCAGGCGTCTGTTTCTGTTTCGCTTCTTGCCGAGTCCTAGGGTTTAGACAGTGCCTGGCACACAGGAACGCTGATAGATTTCAGTTAATAACCCCGGGGCTTGGGGACACGTGGGTGCTGAGAGCTGGCGCGACCTGGTGTATGTGTGAATAGTAGCAGTGGCAGGCTTGCTGTCTGGTTGGATGGGAGGCTGAGGAGTCGATGAATCGAGAGTGACCCCCAGGAGTTTGGTGTGAGCAGCAGAGTGCATGGTGATGTCAGTTATGGAGAAGGTGAATGTCAAGGAGAGTTGGGGTGGGGGCGGGATCTTTCTCTGGGATACTATTGGGTCAGGCGTTATTAGTCAAGCCCCTAGCAGCGAGGCTGCCAACCAGGGGTTATGGTGGAAGTTAGAGCCCAGGACACCTCAGGGCTAGGGGTATACATTTGGGATGCACTGACACAGAGCTGGCACTTAAAGCTGGGGGACAGTGGGGGAAAGTCACTGCAGGAAAAAAGGGGCCCAGGCTGAGCTTTTGGAGGCAGGGTGTGGGACGAGCTAGAGCAGGGGACTGAGGATGGCGCCAAAGGCGACCAGGTCTGTCTGCTCGGACCACTTGTCAGGACACCAGCTCCCCAAATGGGCAGGTCCCAGCTGAGGAGCGAGCAGCAGCGCAAAGCCTCCTCTGCACAGACGTCACTTCGGTGTCGCTACGCGCGTCCGAAATAAAGAACTTCGGCAGCGCGAAGGCTTAAGGAGGATTTGTAACCTCAAGTTAGGTTATCTAGAATGAGACAGAATCTTTCCCAAAGAACGAAGAATAAAAGGTAAAGTCACCAGAGTCTGGAAATATTTCGTAACCCCTGAAATGGAGAAATGAGAAGAAATGCAAGTGGAATTTTAAAATAAAATGCCAGTGTGGAAACAGTGAAGCGGGGTGAAGATTTTAACAAACAAATAATACTCTGGTTTCTCTTCGGAGTGCATAAATCTTTCACCTTACCAAAGAAACAAACCTCAAACAAGAATAGTTCATCATTATAACTGCTTCATGGGAGTCCGTAAAAATAAACCCATAGTTTTCAAATCGAATTTGAAAATCAAATCACAAAACAGAGCCAAGTGTCAGGGAGGTATATATAGAAAATACGAGAGGACTGAATAAGCATACACAAAGACTGTGTGATAAAAAAAAAAATTGATAATCTTTAGAAAGAGGGCATAGAGATTCAACTTACAGTGGGTAGGATGGGCTCTGGAAGAAGCAGGAAAAAATGATGCATGATTGATGACTAAACGTATAAAAGAAAAAATTGTTTTCCAGACTTTTAAAGGAGCTAAATCCAGCAATTGAGAAACCTCATAAAGATCCAGTTAACAGAAGAGAAATAGCAACACAGAAACTCCTTACAACATTTCTAAACCACAAGAGAAGATGAAGGCAGAAAGTAAATACTTAGCAACAGCACCATTGCTTTAAAAAATTACAATATGTAATATTATTCACACTCCTCAATGATACAGTAAAAACTCTGAAGCAGTATCTCCACAAAGCAGACTACTGACCTGGGATTAACTCAACCTAGATGTCATTCGAGGGCACAGGGAATCTTTGCAGATGAAAGAAAAAAAAAAAAGTGAACATGTGCTAATCACATGCCTCTACTTCTAAGAGGATCCAAGATTTTTTTTTTCCGAAAATTTTAGAGTGCTGGTGATCTTAAAAATAAGAACCCAGCAGCTAACTGAGCAGCTGGATATGAATATACCCAAAGTGAAAATGTTCATTCTATACAACCGCGACAGAAATAGAAATAAATAACAGCAGTAACCACAACCACCCAACCATCTAGACATTTTTAGATGTCTCCTACATCACAGCTGGATTAAGGAAGGAATTGACACAGCGGTAGCCTACCTGGGCTAAGTGTGGGGGTGCAGAGTACAGCAGGTCCTCCAATAACAACAGCAAAAACCCCACATATAACTTTTATAATAGTGAGTGAGAAACCCACTTAAAATGAGCAGATAATTGCTCCCTAGTAAATACAGATGATAAATTATTGGCTAAGGTAAGCAAAAGATTACCAAGGAATGCAAAACAGAACAATAAAAAATTACAGATCACTTTATAATGAAATCCAGCCCACCTAGGATGAAATAACAGAATGGGGGAAAAATACAACACTTAGATTAAATAAAAAGCAAAGTAATATAAAAGGGTTTATACCAATGTATAAAAATACTAACAAAATTTCCAACAGAAAACCAACAAAGGACACGAACAGTTTATGCAGAGAGAAATACATTAGAAACCCACCTTGTAGAAAAATATCAATGGCGTTAGAAATTAGAGGTATGCAAATCAATTCATCGATATTGAAATGCAATGTAACATCCATGAAAAGAGAGAGAAAAAATCGAATTCGGACAGCACATCTGATGTGCGGGCTCCAACAGTGATGATGGCCCCGCAATTAGCTCCATCGCTCAAAGGCTTGGCAATATTGATGGAGAAAAGTAATCTCTGTTTAGCCTAAAATTTTAATTGAAAATAGAAAAAGAAAAGCTATGTGAACAAAGCTGTTCAGAGCAGCCTTTACTTATGATCCCCACGATCTCAAAATAACCCAAATATCTAGCAATCGATTTTGGCACATTTTCTCCATAGACTGTTTTGAAACCATTAGAATGTTAAATGTGTAAAACATGAACAGTTTTTAGTGAAACAAGTGAAAAATAGAACTCAAAATGTGTCTGCCTGCCGTGCTTATAACAACATGGAAACAGTAAAGACAAGAAAGGAACAAAGACTCATTTAGTGCCCAGTACTGGGGTCGCGTCATCCGCGGGTCGGACCAGGGAAAGTCTCAGGCAAAGTCTCTGATGTCCTTCTCGGCTGCTAGGAGGGGACTTGGCCCGGGAAGCTCAGGTGGCCAGCACTGGAAGCCCCTGGGGCACGCATTTAAAATGCAGATCCCAGACGGAACCAGGTTGGGGCCCAGGCGTTTGCATGTGTAACACTCAGGTGTAAGTGTGTGATTCTCAGCAACCGTAAACTTTGGAACAGTGGATTACTAAGTGGTTTCAAAGTAGTTTTGTAATTCTAGATCCAAGTTTTCTACAGGCTAAACAGAGGTAAATGAGGTCTGTATATCCAACCAGTTTGCTCAGGGGTACGAGGCAGGAAGGAGTAGGGGGCTGGGGGCTTAGGGGGCTAGGCCAGTGCTGGCAGGCCTGGGGGCTTGTTTGTGGGGGCTTGTTCTTCAGGGAAAATTTTTTGCCTTTGCCAGAAAGGGCTCCAGATGGAACCTGGGATGCCTCAGTGAGGTCCTCACTAATTTTGACCTTCACCTTGTCCCCCATCCTCAGAGAAGTCATCCGGACCCTCCCCTCCCTGGAGTCTCTGCAGAGGCTGTTTGACCAGCAGCTCTCCCCCGGCCTCCGTCCGCGGCCTCAGGTAAAGGTTTTGGGGTTGGAACGAAGAGTTTGATAAACTGGGGCTGGGGGTGGGGAGTGAGGTAGCCAGAAGGGAGGCCCTCCCATAATGCATTACCCACTGCCTGATTTTGAGTTGAGAATAAAGATTTTGAATTACATACATGTCAATAAAGCTACTTGTTAGCGCTGAATAAGGAGGCAAGATGGGGCCTTACTCCATCATTTCTCTTCAAAAACTGAAAGAAAGAAACACATGAGATACCTAAATCCTTGATCCTGCCTCTTGCCCCAGGAAGAGCAAGGTGAGGTGCCCTTCCCCACCTCCCACCCCCCCTCCCCGCAGACACCTGCTCACAGCCAAGCAGGGGGCTGAGGCCAAGTTGTCTATTGAGCAAAGGTCTGTGTAACAGGAGGTGTCGTCAACATAATTGAAAACAAGCAAATGCAATATCTCAGAGAAAGTATTTGCAACCAAAATAATGGACAAAGGATTAACATGATTTAGAAAAAAATCTCCTACATTTTTTTTAATGGACAAAGGACACAAAAGAGGCTGTTTTACTGAAGACCTGGAAATGGCCAGCACACACACACACACACACACACACACACACACACACACACACACACGGAAAGGTGTTCAACCTCACCTCGTCAGTAACTAGAAAATGACATTTAAAATGAAGAGGCGTCTTCTTGTCTATCAGGCAAAAGCTGACTGGTGAAGTCGTGGTGGGGCGGTGTGGGGACCGGGGACTCACAGAGGCCGGCCTGCCCTCTCGCTGCTGGGAGTGGACATGAGTTTTCTGAAAATCTGTTCGGCCATTTGCATTGTCGGGGAACGGGGAGAATTCACTGCCTTCTATCCTTCTTTAGTTCTTACTGCTGGACTAGTAATAAGACATTTAAAATAACACGAGACCAGATTAACAAGAGAAAAACTAGTCTAATACGTGCACACCGGAGAATCCCAATGGGATGCCCAGATCATGAAATGGAGCTCAAAGAAATGATCAAAGTCGCCACACTTTTTATATTTTTTAAATAAAGAAACAATAATTCGTGAGAAATTGACGGTACGAAGAAAAGCAGCGCTCTTTAGAAGGCATCTAAGCGGGGCTTGGGCTTGGGCGTCCGAGGCTGGCTTATGTGGGCTTTTTCCCTCTGGAGTGTTTAACTCCTGGTGACGAGGTTGCAGGTTGCGTCTCGGCCCTCAGTAGGGAGGGCATGGGTCACAGGGAAAGTCGTCCCCTGCTTTTAGGGACAGAGGAGGCTCAGGGCTCCACCTGCTCCTGCGGCTTCTCAGGTGACTTTAACTGGAATCATCAGAGGCCATTGGGTGTCCTGGGGCAGCTACCCCGAACCATGACAGCAAGAAAATGTCAAATGCACATATCCTTCAAGCAAGCAGTTCTATATGTGGGGCTTTGTCTTAGGGACAAAAAGAGGTGTTGACAGAGATCCTTATTGGCTTTGTCTCTAGAAGCAAAACCACTGGAAACACAAAGAGAGAGAGAGAGGGAGTTGTTCGGCTGTGCTGCAGAATTTTCTAAGGCCGATGTACTGATGTGAGAACTCCAAGGCAGACTGTCGGGTGAAACAAGCAAATAGCAGAACAGTGTATAAACTTAGACACAGAAATCAAACCAGAAGGATTTATAGCCAGAGGGCATCTCTCGTTACCATGGTGGGGGGCAGGATTGGGGAGAAGGATGCTGGGCCGGGCGGGGGCGGATTTGGGTTTGACTATGTTGTTTGTGTGAGTTTCTGAGTGAGAAAACGTATATGTGTTCTATCCGTACAACTTAACAGTTCATCAGAAAAAAAAAGACAATTTTGCTTTCTTGCAAGTGAATGATGGGTTAATTTCCAGGAAAGTAAAAATCAATCTAGACAAAACAGGGACCCTGCCAGACACTAAAATTTAAATAGTTTAACTGGAAGACCACACACCCAAGTCTTTGAAGTAGGTTAGAAGAGAGAGAATCTTCCAGAGAGATAAGCCGGCTGCAGTTGCTGGGCGCACTGGCCCCGCCGGCCATAGTCTGCAGTCGTTGGCAGGTCAGGGCAGCAAGGGAGGGAAGGAGGGAGGCCTCAGATGTGGAGGCGGACAAAGGGTCCTCAGTCCCGCCCTCCCTATGAAACCCTGACTCGTGAAGAAAAGCAGAGAACGATGCCTTCAGAGGTTCACGAACGGAGGAGAGAGTTTGAGGGTGCCCTCGGTGGAGAACTCCGGGCCCGGGACCGACACATCTAGTCCAGTCTGACTCACTTCAGTGCTCCTTAGTTTCCTCGCCTGCGAAATGCGGATAGTGACAGCCAGCGTGAACACCAAGCAGAACCGAATGGGGCTGTGTTCAGGAGTGAGTGAAATCACACGCGTGAGACATGTGACTGGTCGAATCTTACCAACGTCAGGCCCTTGCCCTTAGGTGGGTGGCACAGATGGGGGGACCCTGGCCCCCCGCACGGAATTTATTTGAGAACCGCCGGGAGGTGCAAAATGTCAAGTTATCAAAATGACAGCTGGCCTGAGGACTGGGGAGAGACGTGGATCTGCCCCGTGTGAGAACAGAGGTCGCGAACCTTGGCTCCTTTGACAGGTTCAAAGTGCAATGGCGGAGCCAGCTTATGTAACCCCGCAGGCGGCGTCCAGGCCAATTCTCCCGCGTCTAGGCTGAGCTGTGAATTATGCCCTCGACCTCCACACTAGTGACATTTGGGGCCGGATCGCTCTTTGTTGTGGGGGCCTTTCCTGTGCATTGTAGGTTGTTAACACGTCCTGGCCTTTACCCACTGGATGCCATTAAAATAGCCCATTTGCGACAACCCCGAATGTCTCCAGACGTCATTAAAGCCCCACCAGCCAAGAACCGCTGGGCTAGATCTCCATTCGGATTTCAAGAGGACACTAACTGTGTGACCTTGGACAAGTCGACTGACCACTCTGACTCAGCTGTCCCCATCTGCAGAACGAGGATTAGAAGAATCAACATGCATGCGGATTAGATGAGTGTATACATCAAAAATATGCTTGGCATTGTGTAAGAGACAAACATACTGAAAAAGCTCCAGGATTGCTCTCATACCTTCAGTTCCAAGAACTCACTCCCTGTGTGTCCATAACTTCATTTACACTTTGTAAATATTTGCCAAACCTGCCCCAAAAGACAGATTCAGAGAGAAGGGGATTAAGTCACCGGCCTAAAACTGCCAGGTGACTGTCCCAGGTAGCAAGCAGGTAATTTCAAGGGTCCGAGAGGGAGAATGAGGAAAAATAAGCATAAAACAAGGGGTTCTTGCCCATCCCCCATCCCATCTACGGACCAGCCTTTCTGCTCTGACCATCCCTGAGTCTCATCCACTCCTTCAAGCCTGATCATAATAACCGCAGACTGCAAGCTTTATTAAGGAGCAAGGTCAAGACCAAAAAGTAGTCAGAGGAAGCGTTGACAGGTGTCGACTGCTGTGATGATCGTGGTGGAGTTTGTAGTGGGGGGCGGTGGGTGGTGGTTGGAGGTGGTAGCGATGGCGCTGACAAGTAGATATAGTGGTCACGGTGGGGACGGGAGCAGTGGCCACGTGGCCGATGGCGGGGACAGAAGTGGTAGTTGGCAATGGCAGAGGTAGTATCCTAGAGTGGCTGCGTCAAAAGCAGGTAGAGCCTGGTGACTTGTGAAGCAAAGGGCGGGGAAAAGGGACGTCGCCTGGTCGGCGATAACCCTCATTCAGTTCTGCTTGGTGTTCGAGTTAGTTGTCGACGTGTCTGATTGTCCCATTTTACTTCTAGAGGGCAAGGGCGGGTACTCGATACCTCTAGCATCCGGCGGCATGTCTGGCACAGAAAAGATGCTTTGTAAATATTTGTTCTGTGAATAAATACTCGAGACCATGGACTTGGTACCAGGCTGACAGGATTCAGGTCCTGCTCTGCCACTCACTAGCCAAGAAGTAACTTCAGCTCTCGGGGGCGCGTGTATGCATCGAGCGACTTTTCCGAGCACCTTCATGGCCAGGCACAATTCTGTGCACCAAAGTCGCAGCGCTGACCACAGGACCCGTGGCCCCAACTCTTAAGGAGCTTGCATTCCAGCAGAGACACACACATGAACAAATAAATGATGGTGGCGATTGATCCGCAACACAGCAGGGTGACTTGATAGAGCTGATCCAGTGGCACTTTAGCTGGCACGGCCAGGAAAGACTTCTCGGTGGATCTAGGACCTGAACGACGAGAGTGTGCCCTTCCCAGGGGAAAGCCCTGTGTCCAGGGGTTCCTCAGAGAGTGTGGCTCGAGGCCACGGGCCGGTCAGAAGTGAGGGTGGGAGCGGCTGGGTGGGGGTGGGGGGCGTACATCACGCAGAGCCGTGGAGGGCAGGGTGAAGGGCTGGGATAATTTTTTCCCGGCGGTGGGAAGCAACCAGAGCAGGGTTTTAAGCAGTGGGGTGGCTGTGTTTTGGGCGAGATGCCATGGATGGAGGAGGAGGAGTAGAGGCCGATCCTAGAGTTTCGTTTAGGCAACTGAGTGGGTGAGCCGAGAAGCCCTGGGAGAAGCAGAGTTTAGAGGGAAGAAGAAATGCAGACTTATTTTTGGCCATGATAATTTTGAGACAATCGTCAGTATCCTCGATTTCCTCGCCTGCAAAGGGGGATAATGGCAGTGCTTACAGGGTTGTTGGGGGCATGAAATGAGATGAAGCATGGGACGTGCCCAGCCTAAGGCCTCTCAGTGGCTGTCACTCACGAATGTGTCCCTATTTTCACGTTTCCCAGGTGCCTGGTGAGGCCAATCCGATCAACATGGTAACCAAGCTCAGCCAACTGACAAGTCTGCTGTCCTCTATTGAAGATAAGGTACTTGGGGGGTCCTGCAGCTTCTCTTGGCTTCTCTTTGGTCCTCTCTAAGCTCAGAGGATGCCCAGGTGTGCAAACACTAGGCTCCCTTTGACTCTGTCCCGAAGGATGCTGCCTTTCCTTCCCCTCCCAGCCACAGGAGCCCTGTGCCTTTATGCCCACAGGTCAAGGCCTTGCTGCATGAGGGCCCCGAGTCTCCCCACCGGCGTTCCCTCATCCCTCCGGTCACCTTCGAGGTAAGTGGCTGTGCTCTGCGCTTCATGGCCGGAGGCTGGGGGCATCCTCGTCCCTGTGGAAGGAGGGCTTCTGGCCCAGCAGCTAAGAATGTCAGCGCAGCCACCCGTGAAGATGCTTAAACATCAAAAGGGATGCCCACATAAATCTGTGGAACCTCCTTCAGGGGGAGGCTCCCCAGGAAAGAGCTTCTCAGCCCAAGATTGCCGCACACCTCTTCCTTCTCCAAACGGGGGCAGTGAGTGACATCAAACAGGGAGCCACCCAGAACTGGCTGCATTTAGGGAGCGTTGGGAAAAAGTACGATTCCCACCCCTGGGAATGACTGAGTTAGAATTCCCAGGCTCTGGCCCAGAAATGTGTTTTTCTTAATGATCCCCAGAGATTCTGGTGCGTCCATCACAGCCCTGGTCTCACATTCAGAGACACAAAACGAGATGTGCCCCATGCCCACCTCCCCAGAGTCCTGTCTAGCCTGACGATGATTCTGTATGAGGATATATTTCCATCTCCTGAGCATGGCAATTGTCTGTCTCCTAATTATTATCAGTCAGATGTTCCATTCTTGGTTGTAACAAGGCCCAGGAGCTTAAATCTATTAGGAAAATCCTTTCTGGAAGTAGATGACACATCAGATTAATGAGTGTTGTCAAATTGAGCAGCGAAATGAACCATCTTCCAAAGAGTTCATCTGTTTCCTCCACCAAACCTGTTGGCAAAACAGCTGATGAGCACGCAGCGGACTAGCTGGGCTCCTTCCCACCTGTTTGTGATTCTTGGGATCTGCCAGTGGAACCGTGGGCGTGTGGGCCCAGAACGAGGGAGGCCGGGACATAGAAGCCAGATGGCCCCACGTGGCACAGCGGGACGGGACGGGCCCAGGGCCTCCCAGCCATGCAGACCAGAGGCTCACCGGCCACAGCACGAAAGCCTGGACGGAGAAGGGGTGACCGACATCTCCCTCCGCTTTCTCCCCTCCCTCCTCTTCACAGGTGAAGGCAGAGTCCCTGGGGATCCCTCAGAAATTACAGCTCAAAGTTGACGTTGAGTCTGGGAAACTGATCATTAAGAAGACCAAGGACAGTTCTGAGGACAAATTCTACAGCCACAACAAAAGTAAGGCCCCCCATCACAGCCGTAACGCTTTCATTGTGCTAGTGAGTGCTCCTGCTGGTGACCAGCCAGTAGTGGGCGGCTGGAGAAGTGAGTCCTGCCACGCATATCCCACCCCTGGTCTGGGACACTCGCCGCCCCACCCCCTCTCCCGGCCTGCAGGAGCCCCACGCAGCCCAGATCGAGGGGCGCCTCTCCTGCCCCTCCTGCCTGAGGCCTCCCCTGTCCATTCCGCCTCCTTCCTTCAGGGCCTGGGGAAACGTGATGGTTCTGTGATGCGCTCCCCCCACTCGGGGCCAGAAGCATTCGGTCACCTCCCAGTGCCTGGCCCGGGGCCCTGCACATGTAAGGGGGGGTGGCCTGCCTCAGGCAGCATTCTCTGAGAGGCAGCTTCAGGTGCGTGGGCTCCGGAACCAAGCTGTCTAAACTCACATCCCGGCTCTGCCTCTTGGCAACCGTGTGACCTTGGACACGCCATTTAACTGCGCTGGGCCTCAGCTTCCTCCTCTGTGAAATGGGGATAATGAGGACGGAGTGAGTAGTCGCCATGTGAGGGTCCTTAAGAAAGAGCCTAGCACATAGGAGCCGCTGTGAGCACCTGAGGCTTTGCATTTCGCACCCTCAGGTAAACCCATCAGTAAAATGGGACGTGTTCACACACCGGGTGCTTGTGGGGAAGCTGTTCTGGGCGAGGCGCCAGGGATGCAGGGCGAGGCGCCGGGGATGCAGGGCGAGCAGGCGGACGCGGCCTCTGCCTGCGTGGGGCTCACATTGTAGTGTTGCGTGGCCAATAAATCTTCAACAAGTATAGAAATACGACGATTTCAGCTCCTGGTTCAGGGTAAAGGGAACAGACAGGGTGACGTGGGAGAGAATAATGGGGGCAGGAGACAGTGGAGGAGGGGCAGCCGCGCCGAGGAGGGCAGCCGGCGATGCCGGGCAGCGGGGCCAGAGGCCCGTGGGGAGAGAAACGCAGCAGGGAGGCCCCAGAGGAGGGTCTCTGGGGATCTGGACGGCACCAGAGCAGAGGGTGAAAAGTGCAAAGACGGGGCCCTGGCATCTGCTGCCCGGACTCAGGGCCTGCCTGCCCGGGAGGGGACAGAGCCGCGTCTCAGTGACTGCATTTTGCGCAATGAGGGTGACCAGTGCGCAGTAAGGCACTATTTTCTGAGCCATATTTCCTTACCGAATCTTGTCCTCACAATGACCGTTGAGGAAAGTAACTTTACAGATAGGGAAAGTGACTGCAAGGGCGTGTGTGTTTCAGCTGCCCATGGGAACTCAGCTGGAAGGTGGCAAAGCCACCTCATCCCCGTCCTCACCTGCCGTGCAACTAGGTGGGCTGATGCATGCCCACGACTCAGCACAGGGCCAGGCGCTTAGTAGGTGCTCAGTAAACACTGCCATTATAATTTGAGTGGGAGGCAGGAGGTTCAGGCAGGGCCAGGGATCAGAAGGAAGGACGGGGGGGCACGTGACTTAGTCGAAGCCAGCTGGGATGGGGTGGCCCCTGGCTAGGAGGACAGTGGCAGGAGTCGCTTTGCTGTGGGATCGAGGACTCGCAGACAGCCTGAACCGAATGGAAGGTGGATAAATGAGCTAAGAGGGGTTCTGTGCGCCAGGCTTGGCTTACCCTCCGCTTTGGGTCCTGGCAGGCAAAGGCCCGAGGTGGTTGTGCGGGGTCTCAGAAAGCAGGGGGATGGCAGCCCCCGGCCAGGGGCCCCATGGAGCTGGTGATCCCCGCAGAGTGGAGGAGAACACTTGAAGGAAGCGGTCGAGTTCCCCAGTGCTGGCTGACAGGTGTGGATTCCTGCCACAGACGGGTTCTTTCTGTGAGAGGCTGACAGGTTTTCCTCGAGATGCTGGGGAGGGGCTGTGGGCTGCCCCCCTCAAATAAGTTCCCACCACCACACAGCCGTTTGTGTCCATTTCGGAGGTTTTCTGGTCTGTGAACAGGATCCTTCATTCTTCAGGGTCTCATAATCCACTCGGTAACACATAACGAGAGATGCCAGATTTAGCAAATAAATAAAAATACAGGATGCCCGGTTAAACTTGCGTTTCCGATCTATAACACGTTATTTTTAGTATAAGTGTGTCCCGTGCAATACTTGGAACATGCTTGTAGTAAAAGATTATTCCTTTTCTGAAACCAAAATTTAACTGGGCATCCTGTATTTTACCTGGCACCCCTCGGTATGATCGGCATTTTTGTTCTTAATGAAATGACTTGGGAATAGAAAAGGACAAAAAAGGATAAGATAGGAAATAGCAAAGTGATTTTGTAGAGAGTAAAGGTAGATATTTTTTTCTTGAAACTTGTGTTGTAGTTACACACACACACACACACACGCGCGCGCGCGTGCGCACGCGCATTTGCAAAGTTGCATGCATGGGTCACCATGTAAAACATATTTTTCCTGGGGTCACAGGCAAAAAAGTAAAAACAAAAGGATGCAAGACCCTGGGCTAGAGGCGTTTCCCTCTTTCCTGATGTTTGGCAGCAGAAGACTCTCATCTGTTATATTAGAAGCCTGACTTGTGGGATGGAATGTTCTGGAGGCAGGTTCTCATGGGATGGAGACCATGGCTGATGGCTGGAGTGGAAAGTTGGGGACATGCTGTTGCACTAGCCTTGCCACTCGGGTGCCCTGTGGGCAGCTGCAATTCCACACTGTCTGCCCACTGTGACCTAGCCCGTGACATAGAGTGGCCTTCAGATATTGACCTGAGTCAGCACCACCAGCTCTGAAGTGGGCACCTCATGGCACACAGACTTCTAGAGTCCAAGATGCCAGCCACAGCCTCACCTCATCAAGAGCACTCGCCTGAGCTGTTATTCCGATGGCAGGAATTTGACCCAATAGTCAAGCCCTGCAAATAATGCCCGTTGCCCCCAGAACCACCTAGGGTTAGATCTCCAGGGGGGCGGGAAGGGAGATTATATATTCAGCACTGACGTGGCATCAGACACTGTGTTGGGCACAGTGGGACAGAGGATAAGAACACAGATGGGCTCAGGGCTACACTGCCCAAGTTCAGATCTAGGCTTTGTCACTTGCTAGCTGTATCATGTTGGCCTAGTTACTTAACCTCTCTGTGCCTCTATTTTCTTATCCGTGAAATGGGAATAATAATAATACTAGATTTCAGTAGCCCTGGTACCATGACAATGTGTCCAGGCAGAGGCCAGGGAAAGGCGATCTGCCCCATATGGCCATGCCGCATCCTGCGACCTCCTGCTCCTGAGTCCCACCTGGGCTGTGGCACCAGGGTCCAAGGGATCCTCTCAGGGCAGCAGGTGGGTGGCAGCCTGGGGACCAGTCCCATGCAGGAGGTGGGGGAAATGACATGACAGCACAGAGACGTGTTAGAAGCCCAGCCTCGGGTCCCAGCTCAGCCGCCGGTGACCTTAGTGCTCTCTCTCTGGCCCTCAGTTTACTCCTCTGTCACATGGGTATAGTTGTGCCCCGTAGGGCTGCTGTGAGCCTTAAATGGGTAAACATTCAAGTACATAGTGCCTAGCATCTAGTGGGTGCTCGATAAAACTAGCTGCCACCACCACTGTCATCGTCATCAATGTCCTTCCAAGGTAGCTATGAGGAAGGCAGAATAGAGCACCAAGGAGACGAGATCAGGAAATGAAGTCCCTAGACACTGGACCGTGACAGGCTGTCGTATTCACGCAGGGTTGAGATCACAGCGTTGGGCAGGACCGCTGTGTCCCCTTCCAGGTTAAAGACTTGCCGAAGGTTTGAGCAGGAGAGGGCCGTGTCGGCTTAGAGCCTCACTTCCCTCTTATCTGTCACAGAGTGTGGGTCACAGCTGAAAGGGGTGGGCCAAACTTTGACAAGAGGAAACAGAAACCTAAGATGAGTGAAGAGATTGCCCGGTCGCTCTGAAAAACTTGAGGTTTCTAGACTGAAAGAAATAACTCCCAGGGTTCTGAGAAGCACCGTGAACTCTTGTCAGTTTAATTCAATGGACTTTTTTCTTCTGAGCCTCTCCATGGGCCAGCCCTGAGTGACAGCCCTCCATTGAAGAACTGGCAGTTTGGAAGGGAAAGCCGACCTGTGAGCATGTTATTGGGATGTGTGTCAGAGGCAAGGTTAGCCCTTTGGGGAGGGTCGATGAGCTCCGTTGTGGGCTGCTTCAGGAGGCTTTATACCACAGAGATGGCTCTGTCTTTGAAGGATGAATAGGAGTTCGCTGAGCATGAGGCAGGGGACGGCACTCAGACTGAGACACTGGCACGTGCCCGGGGTGGAGCGGGGTGTTAGGGAAATCATGTTACTTCCGGCCCTAAAGGGAGGGGCAGTGGGCCACAGGGTCCCGGATGTGGGCACGGCCTTGAATGCCTAGGTCAGGGCTGGGGAGCACCAGCGGATTTACCTCCAGAGGGTGAATATACACCTTTGCGAAATTACGGGCAGTGGGAAAGCTGCCGTCAGGCAGGTGCGGGTGGAAGGGCCAAACTGGAGGTGAGGGGCCCTGAGGACGCCCAGCTCCGGGCAAGTATGGACGATGCGCGGCGGGTTCATGAGACCTCAGAAGCATGGACGCCCTGAGTCTGCCAGCCCTGATCTGAGAAATGCAGCTACCTGGCTCCTGCCCTCCCTCCAGGTGAAGCCCAGCTCACCCTCTGTCACGGCACCTGTCCCATCGGAACACAATTACCTATTCACAGGTTCCTTCCCCCAAATCAGGCAGGGTCTCTATCTTACATGCCCTGGGATCTCCACAAGATCTGGTACGCACAGGTGCATACTCAGGCACGGCCAACTGACTGAGGCACTTGCAACATTGCTCATAAATCCCTGGCCCTCCCGAACCCCATTAATGCACGTTCCACAGAGGCCAGGAAGTGGATCTTTTTTGTTTACTGCTGAATCCCTTGAGTCTAGAACAGTGCTTGGCACAAAGTAAATGATCAACAGATATATACTGAATGAATGAATGAATGAATGAATGAATTCTAGACCAGTGAAATAATAGTTTATGTGGCCGCGTGTTTAGGTGGCCTCTGTGACCGGCACGAAGAGGCACTGCATTTCAGGGCGGGGGGCTCTGGGTAAGCTGGATTCAGGTACTGGATCCAGGCCTTGCTTCACGGCTCAATAATGATGAGACCTTGAGTAAGTTACTTAACTGCTCGAAGGCTCCGTACTCACATCCATAAAACAGGGATTCCTGTGGGGTTGTCGTGGGGGCCAGTGGGATAAAGCCCGTCCTTAGCCAGTCCTGGCATACGGTCCGTTTCCAGTTAAGGTCATTGTCATAACGCACTGACCACTAGGAGGAACTCTGGTGGCAGGTGTTGGAGCATCCCCGCCCCGTTCATCACCATGTTCACTGTAGCTTTGGTGTCAAGCCTTGTATGCAGAGGAAAAAACCGGTTTGTGTATGAGGAAATCATGGCATATTCACTCACTGAGCAGCTGCTTTGTGCCAGGTGCTGGGGATGCGGAAGTGACAAGCCAGGGGGGTTACACTTAAGTCAAGGAGAAAACAAAGAAGTGCACAAATCCATAAGCGAGAGGAGGGTCGGGGGATGAACGCGAGGCTTGGAATTTAAATAGGATGGTATGATATGACAGGACTGGAAGAGTGCCTTTGGCGCTGAGACCTGAGGGTCAGGAAGATGCTGGCCACGC